TATAGATTATATAGATATATAGATCTGTATGTCTTGTTTTAAATCATATTCTATCTATTTTTTCTATAATCTTTTTTTAGAATTGATAGTGAATGAGAACTTACTCGGTTGCTATCTCTTGTTTCGTTGATTCTGAAAAAAAATCAGAAAAAAAAAATGAAGCTGATTACTTTTAATAGAAGTTGCACCACAAAAAACAATAATTTTAAAGAAGATAGTTTGGTCTTACAATCAGAAAAGGCAAAATTTATATTTCAAAAAATTATTTTAACACAGAGCAAATAAATGTTTCGTTCCAAGATACATTTGGAATAACTGATGCATGAGAACCTCATATAAAAATTTGTGTCTATAAAACAGTTTTAAAAAAAATTCAGTTTTAAAATAGCTAGCAGCTATTTCATTAATAAAAATACAATGCAAACACGCTTAAGGCATTTCCTTCCATTTACATAGAAAATGAAAATTTTATTAGTTTTTTTTTTCAATCTTACGAAAGAGCTTCAAAAAAAGTATACTATTTTGATGCAGTTTTTCATGAATTATTTTAAATCCGATTTAAGATGTAATACGATAAAATAAATATTTTATGCATTAAGAGAAAGTGAAATCCCAATAGATGTTAAAAATTTTTGTAAGCGACCGTGAAAAATAATTTAATTAAATATTTTCAAAATAATAATGAAAAATGTAGCTGAGAAAAGCATAACTGAATTTTTTAACGATCTTGACAATAAAAGATAAAAAAAGGAATTTATTTAAATTCGCCCAATGGAAACGCACTCAAATTTCTAGATTCAGACATTGTTTAAAAAGAGAAACATTGTAATAGATAAAAATGATATATAAAAAAACTTCAAACAATTCGAGAAAGAAAAAAAAAACACTAAAAAAACTTAATGTTGGATTATATTAGGTAAATATGGAAGATAGACAAACATGTATATATGGCAAATTAATTATTTCTCTGTCATGTAAGCTTAAAGAATACAAGGTTTTGCTGCTTTAAAAGCTTTAAAATCGTTGGATAGTTTTACAGTTGTTTTTTCTTTTGTAAAACACTAAATCGTCTCTAAATTATACTACTTGTTGAGAAAAGCTTTAAATTTTTTCTTCATTAGAAGTTAATCTGTGACATACTAAGGAATCACTTCACAAATATTAACAAAAGGAATCCCTAATTAGATTTTAAAGTGTTAAAATCGAACTAAAATAGTAAAACAATTTGCTTCAGCATTTTTTCAAAAATTTACTTGATCTGATGGTTAAGCGTAAATAAATTGCGATCTTTTCAAATCACCTTTACATTTTAAACACCTATGCGTTAAAAAGATAATGTTTTGCCTCAGTAAATTTTATTAGACATTCAATATCAGATAAACGTAAAATAATTGTATTGAATGAAAGTGGTTGCAGTTTTTCTTTAAGAAACTCTGCATGATTATTATGTATAATGATTATTCCCGAATAATCTTTAAAAAATGTCTAAAAACAAAAAGCCTAACTCGCATGTTTTATGTAGAAAACAATGTAATTCATTTTTGAAATTGCTAAAATTAAATATTAAGCATTAAATTATCATAATTATTTTGTAAATATATTTTTATGTGGGAATTTTCTAGCTCGACTTTTTCGTTAAATGAATGCTTATTTTTAGAGGAACATGCAACCTGATATTGAACTGGTATCGATGAAATGAAATCAAAAATTCAATCTCGAGAATAATGAAAGTAAATAAATAGCTTAAAAAACGCCTATTAACCTAAAAAAAGTAAAATAGAGCTAAAACATTGCAATGAAGATAGAGATGAATCAATATATGTTAATGAAATTTTGAGCAAAAGTTCTTCTATGAATATGTCATAAATAAAATAAATTTATAGATAAACTTGAGAAAAAAAATTTAGTTTTGTAATGTGCGAAAGAAACTAATAATTTTTTAGCATTTTTAGATATCTACATTCGTACTATTTTCAGTTGAAAACTGGATTTTTCCAATTATGTACTCTTGCAATCCTTATTGATAATTAAAATAAAAAGTCTATCCAATGAGGATCGAAAATTAATATAATAATGAAAAATAAAAACGCAATTAATGAAGATGAGTGTGCAGATCATCAAAAAAATTTTTATTACAATTTAAAACTTGATGCTATATTTAATAATCAGTTCTCTGTTTCTTCTCACTGTAAAAGAGGTTTCTATTATTTCCTACACCCACCATTACTTAAATTAATTGTTCAAATTTCTGTAGCGTTTTCGTGTTTATTATTATAACTTAATTATTATTTTATAACCTTTCATGTGCATACATTTTTAGTTGTCTTTTTCATACGGTTCTAAAATTGTATGATAAGTATAATCTTTACGAGACATCCAGTATTCGTGACAACTCATACCTTCCACTTACCGAGTATTTTATTCATTGAAATATATCAAGATTACAACAAATATATTTAGGTTGTTTAAGATAATACAAGGTGTCACCTTTTCAAATATAAAAAATGATTTTCTCCATTAACTCTATTATTCTCTATTAGTGTTTTGAGCAGGTTAGTAAATACTAACTAAATACTAACTAAATTAGTTAAATACTAACTAAAGTCTTAATTTGTGGTGTAAAATTCGTAAATAAATTATGAGTGGAACTTTTGCCCACTTTAAATATGACAACTGGTTTGCCCTAAACTAATTACATTTACCTAAACTCAATTGTTACCAAGAGGTTACATGAATATGGTAAGAGGTTAGAGGCTAAATTTCTATTTACTTATTTTCTTTACCATGTTGCAAAACGTCAGTTTCGGTTTTTTTATCAGTATTTATAAATTACTAAATTAGTGTCATTTTTTTTTCAATTTTGAATTAACCTCAATTAATTTAGTTTTCTTCAAAAAAGCCATTCAGTGCCCTAAATTTCAGTTATAAGCATTTATAAATTACTATCATTTCTTTCAATTTTCAAGTAACCTCAATTAGTTTACATTTGCAAGACAAACCCATTCAGATTCCTATTCTACTTTACTTTGACAAAACAAAGGTTTTACGAATTTTACGAAGACAATGTGAGAATTATTCATGTTTTTAAAAGATCAGTCTGACATATTCTATGCGTCTTTGTTATGCTATGAGAAAAGACTAAACGAATGAATAATCTGAGGAAACGTAGTTAGGAAGTAGAAAGAAATATTTACCTTTGTGCCGATTGTGTCTCAGCTTATGAGCAACTACAAAGAAAGCAATCATGACAGTCAGTAATAGAAAGAGGGCACCTGCCCCGAAGAGGATTGGTATCAGAAGATTTATGTCAATGGAATTTTCTTGAGCTACAAAGAGATTATCGGCTCTTTATTATAGTTTCAGTATGCATCTTATGTTCACAGATGATATGATCAAATAGAATTAGTTATTACAAGATCTTAGAAATATTGTACTAAGTATTAATGTACGAAATAAGGCTCATTAACGATAAGATATATTTCCATTTTTTATTGTGAGTTTAATATTAACCTAATATTACAAGACTTTCTCATTTCGTCATGCATAATTTAACAAAATAATTTGGCATCAATCGCAAAAGTTAAAAAAAAAAATTCTTTTTTAAAGCGAATTACAGCTAATTTTTGAGCAAATAAAAGGGCTAAAATATAAAATTATTAGTTCTTTTTATTTCAAAAGAAAAAACAGTTTGGTTTTAAAGATACAATAGTGATAATATTAATAATAAAACCAAGCATATACTTGTACAATCTTAGAAAAATAGGTTAACCATATTATTTGAACCTTGAATAAAAAATGTGGTTCTATTTTTACGGCAACCTTAACTAAGGGGTGAAAAATATCAAGTTTCCTTTTTGAAAATAAATAGAACAGCTCGATTTAATCTTTATAATACATTACGATAGAAAATAATGGTTCAAACGTGATACCGCCTAACATTGGATAAAATTATATTTCTTAAAAAAAAAAAAATGCATATTTCATATTTTAATACAATTTCTCCATTAAATTTGCTTCTTTTTCTATTATTTCTTCTTGGAAGAAACAGTTTTTGCGTCATTTGAAATTTAATTTTAATCATAGAAAAACTAAACTAAAAAAACTTAATTAAAAATCCCAAAAGCTGCTTTTTTTAAATATAAATAAGTATATTCAAATATATATAAATATATAAATTCGTAGAGATTATTCTGATCCAATACGAATTATTAGCAAAGAATGAAGTGGTTAGCTTACTTTGTATAAAATTTCGATTATCATTTCAATTTCCAAAGTAGGTAATTCTATTATATAAAACTAAGCGTTAGTAAATGAAAATTTCATGAAACTGCTTCAGATAATATACGTTTCATAATCACTTAATCAATTCCTTCAAAGATAATTGCTTTTCGCTAATTCTATTTATTTTTGATACGAAAAATAAAGAAGATTTTCTATTTAAATGGATCAAATAAGCTCATAAATATTACAGAAAATACTGGTATTAATTTAATTGATTTTTAAAATGTGATTAAAAGTAGTTTGGAAACTTATAGTTGCATTTAATAATTTCAATTCATGCTCATAAATGAGAACCAAACGAAAAATAGACAAATTTACATTGTTATAACAAAAAACATAACATTTATCGAATAGAAATAATGAGTTTGAAAATTGCAGAACCATATTTATTTAATTAAAAATCAAGGAAAAAGAAGCATTTTCAACTAAAGCAAACACTTCCCAAGCGGTACAAAATTAAAAAAATTAAGTTAAAAATGCATTTGTTTTTCGTCGTTTCTAGCAACAAAAAATCTATCACATTTTACAAAGAAAAAAAAAACAATATGTATTTACTACTAATTTGAGATTTTATTTCACTTTCATAATTGAAAAAGTTATTTGACAGGTTTTATTTAAATTTTACACGGTTTTTTTAAAATTGCAGTTTAAAATAATGTTGTTGTTGTTGTTGCTAATTCCCATCTGGTCTGACGGGGTCAGACCAGATCAATAAATCCGTTGACGTTAAGAAAATCCGAAACCAGAATGGGAGAGGAATGAATGTCGTTCCAGTCCAGCCAAGATGTGCTCAGGTGATGCCTGTTTTTGTTGGCATTTAGGGCAAAGAGGAAAAATTTTTTGATTAGCAGAAAATGTGAGACTTTTCAGGTGTCCACTGGCCAGTCGGGATAAGCAAGTGTTGGTTTGCCTGTCACCAGGAAGAGATAGAGAGAGTCCTGGTCTTTTTGCTTTATACCAGTAGTGAGTAGGTGGAAGCAGTGTTTAAAATAATAGGGATATTTTGCTTTTTTTCCGTACTCTCCCTTACGTAAGATGCGAAGTAATTGCGCATGCGCACTTGAAGTATGCATGTATTAGTTCTCTTGAAATGCGCATGTGCTCGTTAAAATAATAAATCTTACGTGAATGAAAATAAGAGATTTAATGAAAAACCATGAGTTAAAAAACTCTAGCATAGTGGAATATCTTCTTAACTTCGCCCACAATGTATGGTTGAAATACCATAGACTTGGTTCTATTAACCACCAAATTGAAGGCTAGATTTTGATTTTATTAAACAAAATAAGACTAATTTTAAAAAGAAGTGTCATTAACCTATAGTAAGTTAATTTTACTAACTCTTTAATTTTTTAACATCAGAAAGATTTCTTCATTCGAAGATTATGGCGAGAAATTTTTATCGATGTTTGAGATAATGAATCTGTGCAAAAGTGTAAGTATTTTCTGCATGATACTTTATCAAGAGCTACAAAATAACGCAGAATTGTCTACATTCCATATCTTGAAACAAAAGAACTTGATATAGACATCCGTTTGTTGGTATACATCAGGGGTTTCCAACTTACCTGAGGCCGGGGACCACAATTACAAACGCAAATCAAATAGCGGGCCGCAACTTTATCAAAATTTTATGTAGGACTCCTTTATGTTTGAAGGAACATTAAATATAACTATCAGATTTTTACCAAGTTGTACAAAACAAAAGTATTGAATTACAAATTAAAATAAGAAGTAGATTTTGAAAAATATTTAATTGTTATTAGTAATATTTCTAAAAATATTAAATAAATAATGAAAATTCGGGCTACATTAACTCTAATGTGCACCTATGTATTAAACAATTAATGTGCAACAGATATCAATTTGTTAAGATATAAAACTTTAAAAAGGTTGGTATTAAAACTTACATAGTAGCACATAAAATATTCAATGAGAAAATTGAGGTTTGTCTGCTGCAACCACCAAAGAATAGATATTTAAATTTTAAATTTAAAAATTACAAATGTGTGTATAAATATTTTCGTCCAAAATGAGTGGTTTCAAAAAGTTGAATCGGAGAATTTCTTCGAGAAAATTTTTGATACGCACATGCTAAATTATATTTACAAAATACAAAAAATATAAAATAAAAAAGAGCAACATGCACCATTATTTTTGCATTTGAATAAATATTTTCTTGGAATCAAAACCAGAGAAATAAATTTTTTTGCACCGTTGGTATGTTAAATTTCACAGAAACGAATAAATTAGGTTTTTATTAACGAGAAAAGTATTTTAAACCCATGTATATTTTTTACGAAAATTATCCGCAAAAAAAACAACTAATATATCTTAGTTCGCGGGCCACAAAAAAAGGCTTCGCGGGCCGGATGCGGCCCCCGGGTGCCAGTTGGAAACCCCTGGTATACATACTACGATTTTCTGTATCTGAATATTTTGTGAGTTTTAACACGAGTCTTCCCTACGTCTTTTTAAGGTTTTCACAAATTTTAACTTAATTTGTTTAATATATAAAATGAAAGTTAAACTAAAATTATTTCTGTCTGGATATTTCTAAAATTCAAAGAAAAATTTTAAAATTTAATCTTGTTTAATTAATGATTAAATTCCGATTTTTGGTTTTGAAGAGCTTAGTGAAAATTAACAAATTACACTCTAAAATATGTCGGATCAAATTACGTCACGAAGTACCTGCACTTTGGATGCCTTATCCGTAAACTCCATTTTTCCGTAAAATACAATTTCACCGAAAAATATAAAAATATTAAATGTAAAAACTACGTTATATCTGACTTTTTGTACCGTAGCATGTTTCGGTAAAAATGAATGCTACTGTAAAAAGTACCGGCACACTGAGTGCCGTTACTTTTTACTGAAATGTGATCTGGAATTTTTAGGATTGTCATTCTCGGGATCAGGAACGATCAGGATCGTAAAGCTCTCTAGCCAAAAACAGAAACTATAAAAGGGAATGGTGAGGATATAAAAGCAGTTAATACAAATCATACTTAAAATCCACCTAAGCATTTCGATTGTAATTTATAAGAAGTCCTTAATAATAATGACTGATATTACAGCTTTTTATTACAGAAAATATAAATAAAGATAAAATAGCATCCTGATACAGTGGAAGACAGTAAGATAACTGGATAGGATCCTGGTTACGCTAAGGTTCTGTACTAGAAGGTGTTTTCGTTTGCAGCTGTCATTTACCTCTGCACACAAATATATTCTTCAAAACGCAGGTGATCATGTGACATATATGAATTCGAAAAAATGTTTTTATACAACCAGTATGTTTTTTTTTGTTACCAATTTTCATTCTATTTGAATAAATATTTTATAGCATGTCTCGGATATTCCCGGTTTATTCCATTGAAATTACAGCACCGTTTGGTAATGACATTTCTTGTAAAGAAATCTTAATTCCGGTTAATAAAATTCGAAAAATATGGTACTTAAAGCATTTATTTGATAATTTTTCTTTTTATATGACAATGGTTTAGTTCAAAATCATAGTTCTTACCTCATACATTTAGTAGCAAATGCAAAAATTAAATTTAACCGAATAAACGGTTTACCATGCGGTTACCAACGGTTATCATGATAAAATTAAAAATTTTAAGAGGTTTTATAAATTTAACACATATTATGAAATTAAACATGGTAAATTTTATCGAAATTATTCCCGAATTGTTTCTGTAAAAATTACCGAACCTTTTGGTGTTCCCGTTAAGCCAAAAAACCTGTAAATTTTACCATATTCTCTAGTTTTGACCATACTTTGTTTCGCAGTGTTATTCTACGTAGTTTCTATTCTTAGATTACTTCCATAGTTTTTGATAAATTAAATAAAAATGATAATCTTCAATCATTCAATATACAGTCTTTTGAAGAAAGAAAAATTATATAATGCAAAGCGTGCAACTAAAAATATAGTTGTAGTATACACAAGAACAGTGCTACAGTGTCAAGTTTGTTTGATATGTATTAAAATTATTTCAAAGATTAACGTTAGAAAATAACTCCAAGAAAATTAGTCTTACTTTGCAGAACGCATACGCATTTAATTTCATATAGTTTCCCTTTTAAACATTTTAGGTACATTACAAAACACGTACAATAATACACAAGTAAATATTTATAAATATTTTATTCATTAAGCTCAATACCTCGAAATAATTTCCTCAATACAAAAGAATATCCTAAGTTTTAGTTGGTGTTGGCTTAAATTTCTGTTAATTTATTAAAATTTTGCATGTTTAATTAATCTCATTGTATACTTTAGGCACATTAAGCAAAAAAATTCTTGTAATACTAACAACAGCATCTTAAAAAGCCTATCGAAGCTAAAATGTTTAAGCTTATTCACCGAATAGTAATTTGCAATTTAAATTTAAGATTCAATATATATTATGAATAAATTAAACAAACCCTTAAAGGAAGTAAATATTTTCAAATAGTAATTTAATGGTAAAATATTTTCAAACATTTATTTATAGTTATATGAGTTATCATAAATAATTTCATTAAATATGTAATTTTAAATCACTTGAAAAGTTTCACAATGCACCACACTTTATTTCAAAATCCTATCTAAGAAGAGAAGATAAATATTTAAAATACTTTCGTAGTTTGCTTTTAATTTATTCTACTCAACTAATTAAATTAGGCGTCTAATAAAATGAGAAGTTCAATATCGTATTTTCTTTTCTATAAATATTTATTTAAAATGTTCGAATAGGGGAAATATTCTTCTTCGGTAAAAGTTAAACGCTATTTAATAAAGTTTTCGGAAAAGTAAAAAAAGCAGATTATTTTGTTAATCAATGAACGTTAAAAGAATTTTCGTATTAGCTACGCCTTTTCAGAAAGGAATATAGAAAATAAAGGTGATTACCAGAAATAAAAAACAGGGAAAACGGAGTATATATATTTATATATTTCCAGTATTACATATATATATATGTATATATATATATATATATATATATATATNGTATTATTGTATCAATAGAGCTATATATATATATATATATAGTATCAATATTGATACAATAACGGAAAGAACTCCTTTTTGCGGATACAATCGTGTGGGTTGATGAAAAGTTTATATCTTTTATTTTCTGGTTTTTTAAAAAAAAAATTTCTTTTTTTTCTTTCCTCCCAGTTGTTTGTTATTTTTTTATTATTATTTTTCTTTCCCCTCTTTTTTTACAGGTCTGTAATTTTCCTTAGTTTTATCTTCATTTTGAACTTATCTTATGAATTCTGTTTACTTGCAGCTTATGCGCAATAAATGAAACTTATTGTTTTTCTTAATTTTCTTCGTTCCTTTTTGTATTCATTTATTTTGCTGTATATATATATATATGTATATATATATATAACTGTTTACATAATATTACGGTTGTTGTATTTTTGCATAAATACAATGTAATATTACGCATTTTTGGAATAAATCGAATATTTTTGCAATATTGATGTCATTTATAGTCAATATTGGAAAAAACAGAGCTTCCTTTATCTTGTTTGGGGAACTAACAACCTTTTATCTTTTAAATTAAAATGCTTAAATCATATTTATAATATTTCAATATTTAGTAACTTTCATGAAGACAGTTTCTATTTACAGGGATGCCGAATATAAAAGTTAAGATTATTTTTATTTTCATTTTCATTTCCAACTGAGGACAAAAAAATGCATAATATTTTGCTATACTTCATGAAATCCTAGTAAATGCGTATTTCAAAATGTTATAAATATATTCACGGTTTATATACAATTACGTAGTCAGATTTGAAACCTCGATTTCTTACTAAATGCTTTGTGACTTGGCTGAAAAGTAATAAGTAAAAGTTACTTATACTTTTACTCATTACTTTTCAATTTTTACTTTTACTTTACTTTTCACATTTTATTGATTTAATTTCGGTATTTTCTCTCATTTATTCCGAAAAATGTTATAAAAACAATACCTGTTCTTCTTTCTGCAGGTGTGAGAGTGGAAGCAACAAGCGCTACAGATTTGCTTTTTCCTTTTACATTTGAGGAATAAATTATGAGAAGATATGAAGTGCTTGGATGTAAATTGATGATTTCGAATACAGGTTGTGACCATTCTGTTACATTTTTCACGATTGTTTCGGTTAAGGAATTATACACTTCAATGTGGAATGTTTGTTGAAATCCACTGCTGTTGCTTGCTTTACAAAAAACCGAAATTTGATGCATTGTTTGATTAATGAGAACACAATCTTTAGGTGGGTCAGGAGCACCTGAAAATATATTTTAACGTCATATACGATTTCTTTATAGTAGATTAGAAAATAACAAGGATCATAATTCATGAGGAAACAAAATATATTTAAGATGCGTATGAAATATATATGGTTGTTTTTGAAATATACAACAGTCATAGAAGAAAATAAATTGATACAGCACAAAATAATATGAATTAGTGCAAAAGTATTAAAAAATAAATAAATAAATAAATCCTAAAGCAAAATTCATAAAGTAATCTGTAAAAAAATAATGTCTTAATGTAGTTATAATGTACCTAATTTCCTATATTTGCCTAAACATAGCATATAATGTATGGAGAATAATAATAAGCTATTAATGTGTGCAGAAACTCAGAAGTAAAATATTCTATATCCATGTAAAGAAAATTAAAGAGAGCAAATTTTTAATGACGCCCGGTGGCTGAGCGGTAGAGCTTCGCGTTGTCGTGCCACAGGTCCCTAGTTCGATCATCGGTCCGGGCAAGGTTGGCTCAGCCTTTCATTCCTTCGGTGGGTCGATAAATGAGTACCAAGCATGCTTGGGAACTAAACACTGGGGGTTTCGCATTAGGCTGACCACCTGACCGGAGCATCTACTCCTGACCCCAGAGCCCAAGGTCGAGAAAACTGAGATGGGCACAGTAGGCCTTCGCCCTCAATGGGCTGTCGCGAACCTGAGTTTAGTTTAAATTTTTATTGCAGCTGTAAATCTTCATAGAAAATGCCGTCTAAAGTAAATTATAAATTATTAGAGAAAATAAAAATATTTAAAAAAATTGAAGCTTAAAATTCTACTTTAAAAGTTTATAAAAATAATGAATTATTCCAAATTATTATGAAGAACAATCTGAAAAAGCAATCAAATAAAATATTTTTATTTGCTACTTATCCAAAAATTAGAAAAATAATTTCAAAAACTAAATGACAGTAAATAAGAAACAGAAATAATTTATTCGTAAGTAAAAACCCAATTAAATATGCAATTTTGGAAATACTTAAAAACGTGAATCTTAAATACTTAATACTTAAACACGTGATATACCTCATTGAGGTACAGCACATAAAAAAATAAGGAACAAAAAATTAAGGAGAACAAATTCACAAGCTTGACTTTGTAGAAGAAATATTATATTTTTAAGCACATCTACTTTACAGTATTTAAGTATGATACAGCATGTACTGTACTTCAAATAATATAGTGTGTACTCTATACTACAGGATTTAATCATACGTAATGCAAAAAATTAAAAAAAAAATTAATTTTGAATAAGCATGAGGAATGAAGATTCTAAACATTCTGAAAACACACTGAAGATACAACTTATATTTTAAGTAGTAGTTTTTAGATTATTAGTTTTAAAATGACTGTAAATTTTAATAGTAATTTTGACTACACAGAAAGTACTGCAATGTCTGTGTTTTACTCAAACGGACATTCTGTTTCATGATGTATAAGATATTTGAACAGAAATGCAAAATTCTTGTAACGATTTCTTGTATATATTTTTTCAAGCACTATTTCCCACCAGCAACCAATCCTTCTTCAACATATGGTAATCATCTTTTACAGGATAAATATTCAGCTGATTTTACTTGACTTACCCTTACTATCGTCATATAATGTTTCCTTTACATAAATATAGTGCCGTTCAAGAGAACCTGCACTTCAGGATCATTGACCTTTTATCACCTACGGCCTATTTTCATTGGCCATCCTTACGGCTGCGTCTTCAAAAGAAACAATAACATTTTTTCCTAAAGACTGTAGATACTACTAAAAAACTTGTGCTGGATTCCTGATAGCCATGGAAGAGCTTTTGATTTTACATCTCGTCTGTGGTCTTACGAGCGATTTTCTGAAAACGGATTAAATTGTAGGTCTACCTCACCCCGAGGAATCCTGAATTCTTTCGCCAGTGACCTGCACTCACTCCACCCCATTCATCAAGAAACAACATTCATTGCAGTTTTATTTGTATCCCTCGAGTACTTTCCTCGAATGTTTAAAGTTTTTCCTCATGGCCACTTGAAATGAAAATTGGAAGAAATTCAGTAACTTCATTGGAAATAATTTATTGCGTGATAAATTCATCAACCCTTACTAAAGTGCGATGAATGGATTACTTAAGTGAACTTCCGGAATCAACATAAAAACACAATGAGCTGATAACTGATTAATAGCGGGATGTTTTTTTCCTCCGTCCTACTTCTTCTGGAGAACGCACTAGGTCTGCTCATCGGGAAGACTGTGCAGCTCATAGGAAATTTTAAAAAAAACTTGTTACTAGAAAAATAGTTTCATCCTTGAAGGTATTTAAAACAGTAATTCAATGAATTTAAATTTTAATTTAATAAAAAAAAACTTTAGAATGTTTTTTAAATTTCGGACAAATTTAAAGCCATAAAAATGTTTATCACAATTGATGTAAGAACTTGATGAATCAAAACAACTTGTCCGTATTATTTATATACTTTACCATATTTCCAGTTCTGACAAAATTATATCTATTTTAAATGATTCCGGAAAACTTTTTTTTCGGAGTACAATGACAATAGTTAGATGCACTTAATTATACTTATGAATATTTATAAACGAGAAAATGTCAATATATAATTCAATAGCATGTAAGAATTTTATTACTTTCATTTTTCTATTCAATGATATTTTGAGTGGCATATAAAATGCAGGATTTTCTAGTGCTTTTACCTTTTAAGTTGATGTATTTTAATTTTATGCCAGAACAGAATAATTAGGGTACAATAAGGTTTTATAAGAAAATTGTTTTTGGTAGATTAAACAGATGTTTTCAGTCATTTTTGCGTCTTATTTAATATGTTAGAGATCCTAACTAGCAAGAATAAAATATGTTCGATTATATATTAATCAAATTTATTAATTACTGAAGTAATTTATAATTTTGAATATAATTGCTTGCCTTTATCCCTCTGGTTTAGAATTATGGATGATTAGAAATAATCATCACCCACCAACAACTAATCCCTCTTCAACATATGGTAATCAACTTCTATCTACTTATTCCTCCAACCCTCAACAACTTCATATAATTTTTCTTTCATAAGCTTGAACAAGATGGCCAAATGAAAGAAGGAAAATAATATCCGGTTGTGTTTAGGGATGTAAATCTTATTCTCATGTGCTAATATTTTGCTTCATTGATGTTGTTTCTTTATTTATAGTAAGTCTCTTACAAGGAAGGTACCCAAAATGCCTGTTCACAGAAATAATAGTTTTGGTATATAGAAGGGAATAGTAATTCATAAAAGAAAACTTATATATTTCTCTATAAACGGAACAAATTTTAAGAAAGAAGAAGAAAAGAAAAAACGGGTAAAATAGTGAAAATCACAACTTTGCATGTGAGGATCGTTTTTTTTTTTTTTTTTGAAGTTAGGGCATTCTGTTTTCAAAATTTTTATAAATATTTAGATTACGACAAAACAAATGGGATCATTTTTGGATCACAGGTGTATTCGGATGAAAGAGATCCGGATTATCAGAATTTCATATAAATTTTCTTTTTCATTATACATTTAAGTAAGTTCGCCCATTTATGTAATTTCGCCCATTTATGTAATTTCTTTAGCTATTTAATTGCATAATTCTGTACGATCTATTAATAATTATCGATTGTATCTATTAACGTATGTACTCACTTGCAGTGTATATATGAAATTGGCAAGGGTTCTTTTGAACGCCGACACTGTTACGTGACCAACAGTGCAATGTGCCCTGGTCTGACTCCGATTTCAAAGAGTATTTGAAAGTTCTATTTATAGCACCTTGACTCCAGTTCTGCTGTAGAAAAGTTCCTTCAGAGTTGACTAAAACCCACTTATATGATAAGACTTCAGGATAAGAATCAGTAGCACACGTGACATTTATAAGCTCAGTTGAACTCAAAGCATAAATAACAGATTTTGAAGCGACACAAACGGGTGTAACTGAAAAAGATAAGGTAAATAATATTATAATTATTAACTACAGAAAAGTAACAAATAGTATAATTATGTTTATAATTATTAACAAAAGTAAATAGCTTCTGAGGATTCGAATTTTTTTAAAAAACCGTATTTTTAAAGTTTGTTGGACTGATTATACTAAAAATAAACTTTATAGTTTATCATGTTAAAATATATTCTTCAAAATGATGTTAAAAGTTTTATACTTTACAATTTTGGTGCATTAATAAATAAAATGACCGAAATAATAAATACTCTATAAAATTTCTTTTCTGTGTGGAATTATCTTTAAACAAATACATTTTATAATTGTGTGCAAATTTTTTTAAAATTCCTTTAAAAGTTGAACCGCTCTCCTAACCAAACTATGGGGACCGTATTTTTTCATATCCTATATATTTTGGAGGTTAGAAATCCAAATCCGTCGAGAGAAAAGGTATGTTTATTTAGAGAAAATATGGTTTTTTGTAATATGTTTGATTTTGTAACTTAAAATTACGCCGTGGTATTTGTAGAGAACTACAAAAATTATGTAATTTTTCCGAGCACTGCGTTTGCATCCGAAACTGCGGTTGCATGCGTTTGAAAACTTGATAAGAATGAATAATGCAGTGCATATCTTTATGAATTGAGCAACAAGATATTAAATATTAGTAATTTCTCAATTAATTTTACATATTATTTTTTCCTTCGTATTTGCCTCCTTTGATTAGCCTATTTTTTTATCCAACTCCATTATGGTTTCTGTATTTAAATTATCTATCAATTTTGATGATACCATGTGAATATTTAGCTGATACTTTATTCAGTATTATCGATACTAGATCATCGATACTAGATCGATACTTTATTCAGTATCGCAGCTGATCTTTATTCAGTATTCAGTATAATTTATTCAGTATTATCGGAGTAATCTATTTAATTTTACCGTTAGATGTTTTATTTGAATTGCATGTTTAAAAAAAGAAACATCAAATCTATCTAACAAACGATAAAAATATTTTAAATCTGTAATAGAAATACATACAACGAACTGAAAAGGAATTTTAGTATGTTTCAAATATTACACGCGAAAGTTCGAAACCAATTTTATACTAAATTATCCCCCTCCTTACACGTGACAGTTAGAAACCAATTTTATATTGAATTATCCACCTCATCACACGTGAGAGTGGGAAACCAATTTTATATTAAATTATCCCCCTTATTACACTCGAAAGTTCGAAACCAATTTTATACTAAATTATCCCCCTCATTACACGTGACAGTTAGAAACGAATTTTATATTGAATTATCCACCTCATCACACGTGAGAGTTGGAAACCAATTTTATATTAAATTATCAACCTTATTACACTCGAAAGTTCGAAACCAATTTTATACTAAATTATCCCTCTCATTACACGTGACAGTTAGAAACCAATTTTTTATTGAATTATCCCCCTCATCACACGTGAAATTTAGAAACCAATTTCATGTTAAATAATCTCCCTCAGAATTAAATCTGGTTTTCAATTCGTACGAATTTGTCTACTTGTGGTAAAAAAAAACTATGCAAAACTTTAAAAATTAAAATGGCGTTCTCCTTCAGGTTCATTTTTTCAATAATTATATTATAATTTAAAATATGTATTTTGAAATTATATTGCACTTCTAATTATTTTTTTAAATATCTAAAAAATTACAAAGTGAATAATTTTTTTTTTTTTTTTAACAAACAAATATAACTTTATTGAGAACAAAAACACATAAATACAAAGAATATATATTCGTCGTCAAGAGGAAAATCCTGTCCAGGCGACAAAGAAAAGTAATACAATAAATTTAAAATAGAAATTTAAAAAAAAAGAAAAGAAAGAAAGAAAAAAAAAGGGGGTATTACAATCATAAATTATTTTGCTCATCATAAGACGTCATATATTGTTGAACACTGTAATAATAGAAAAAAAAAAA